CCTTTGTCCCCGGTGGTAATTCGCTGGCTCTCAATGCCCCAAACCCTGGTATACGGTTTCAAAACAAGGTTGGATTATCACCACTTTTGAGAGTGAAAAACGTCGGTAATGCCCAGCAGCCTGGTCTTTTGTTCGGAGTATGGTCTTTTGTTACAGGGCCGTGTTTCCTTGGTCCGAGTTCGGAGACCCCGGCCACGCATATAAACCATACGTCTCCGATTCCGGAGTCCCCAGCAGGTAGTGGTTAAAAAATGTCCTCTTTTGTTGCCACTCGGAGTGGATAAGGCAAAATGAGTGGCACAGGGCATGATTTAGCTGATCTGATGTCCACAAGCTTAGTATAGCACAGTTCAACATTCGCAGCTGTTCATAAATATGTCAAATTAATTGCTGAAAAGCATACTTGGTTTAAAGGTAGTTTTGGGACTAAACTTCCCGTGAAATCATTCTTCAGGCAAGCTGTCGTTTCGAAGAGAGTAACAAAAGAAGGTCTTTTCTAATGATAAGTCCAAAGATGCATTTTTAGAAATCTTTATTATAGAATGCCCAGACTAGCATTGACATGATTCACACACGTGGTTGTTATATTTTATTGGTTCAGTGTGTAATATCCTGCTGTTGCAGTCGGCCGAAGGAGAACGTGGCCCGGACACTGAATTTGGCAGCCATTTGAAATGTGACTCTGCAACCGAAATCAAGATGCTAGAATATTGTTTTTTTTTCTTGGAATACACAGTGCTCACTGAGCGAAAACTTCATAAGGTTAATTGTAAAGCACCCTTTTTATTTTGAGCACTTTTGTTACCTTTTACAATCAGTGCACAAATGAGATTGATGGACTGTGCGTTTCAGTCAAGTAATGGCCATGCTCCACTGTCTCATTAATCCTGAACAGTCTTGAGGGAGCTGGTGAGGTAGAAGTGTAATAATGATGCATTTTTAAATTCTGTTTTTAATGTAGGTATCCCGAAAAGTGAGAGAAGGTACCAGAATGGTCTAGACTGCTTGATCAAGACGGTGAAATCAGAAGGATGGTTGGGTTTGTATAAAGGCTTCATTCCAAACTGGCTACGAATAGGTCCACACACTATCGTCAGTTTCTTCCTCTTTGAGTATCTCAGAAAGAAAGCTGGAATCAATCCAATATGATGCGTGTGGGGAATACTGAAATACACTTGGTTATATGTCTGTGAAGCGGAGATGGACCACTTGCCAGAGGGATGAAGCTCAGTACATATTGTGTCATGCAAGCATTGAACACTCCATTAATGTGAAGTTATGATGAATGCATATGAGTGCATTGGTCCATACCATGAATGAATTAGTCTTTCCATTGCAGGAATGTGAATCATTCATTATGTGTTGTGCAACATGTGAATAAGTCTCTAGCATCTGATTACTAACTTACATACACATCATTTTCCATTCTCGCTGTGGAGTCGAATGGCAACAAGAAGTCTGTGCATGTTCAAAAATTCCTCTCAGTGTTTACAGCATAGATGATACGTGCCTTGCAGTGCCATCAATACAGCAACCCTGCACGGGGGAATTTGGTATTATATCAAATGGTTTGATTTGGTAGTTTTATTACACTGGGTGCCATGCCCTTGTGTGGATGAATAATTTATGTCATGTTATTGGCAATTCACAAATCAGATGACAAGGATTTATTCAAATGTTACATAAACTGAAACTAGACAAAAATCAATAAAGGCTTTCTTGTTTCTGCGTTATGTGTTGGTACTAGCATTAAATTATCTTTACATTTCAAAGAATGCAGGTAAGAGAAATATATTGATGAAGGAACAAACACAAGAACATGTATTTGCATTTTTATATAAATGTATGCACAAAATGTATGAGGTACATGTAATGCACAATTAATAGGGACATGTGGATTTTAGTCAAAGTTCAAACTGCATCACTCAAAAGTGTTCCAAAGAGCTCTAGTGGGTATATCTTTTTAGCTTTCAAATTCCCAATCAGGTGTAACAAAATTTGTAGAAAGCTTATTGTAACAACCGCGACTCCTTACTTGACGTGAGATGTTTTTAGTCTTGTTTTTAGTTTTGAGTCTAAGTAACCGAACTCAAGCAGTCGTTCTGGCCCAGTGCACAGACAATTCAGACTTAAAAGAAGTCTTTGTTGTCAAACAGAAGTTGGTTAAGAATACGAGTTTCTTTTATTCTCAAAACTTCGCCTCATGCAAAGCTCCTCACAGGCAAACAGACAGTTGGTGAGGAAAATCCTCCTGTTTGCTAACAAGTATTTCACTGCAGCAAAATACTTCACAAATCAAGTATTTTCTCAACACGAAAACACTTCACAGGCTCAAAGCATCGAAGCTGGTCTCATCAGACTTTAGCTCTCTGCTCGCAAAGTTCCAACTCGATTTCTCAACACACTTTCAGGGTTTTTATACTCTACAAATCAACTATATTAACATAGTTACTGAATATAAGTCACAAGTAAATTATGCAGTAAGGTTACATCACCCTGCTCTAAAGTGATGACTAATTCCATTGACCAATCAGAATAAAACCAAATGATGTGAACTCATGACAATTTCTTAATAAAGTTCCACCCCTTCATTTCAAAGCAATATTATTCCATGAAACAAGGAAAGTTGTGGGTACACTGGCCTCCGCCCCCACATTCCAAGTAGCTAACCAAGTTTTATCAATGGGTCAACTGGCCTTGGTGAACATCTGGTGTTTGACTCATTGACCACTACACTTTTCTGGAAACCTGTTCACAAAATCTCAACATTGTTACACTTACATTTGTTTTTTAATAATATAGATGTATGTTTATATTAAGGTATTACTTCATATGCACAAAGACCAGTCAACTACTCTACCTCTTAACCACTTGCTGTCGGGTGTAATTTGAAGTTGCATGACGTAAAACTGGGTGATTTTCAAAATTTTCCATTTTCAAAATTCTTCACAAAATCATAGCTTCATTTACTGGATGTTTGCACCCACACAAACGACTGTCTTGTGGCTACTCTTATCTAACAAACAACATCTATTGATGCCCGAGTATTTCAGCCAGGTCTGCTGCCTTGTAAAAAGAGCCCAGATTGTGCAGTGTTATGTAATTTTGTATTGTTCCGGGGAACCATGTGTTGAAATAGAGACGTTGTGGGGACCCAAAATGTTACTGGGACAAATTGTCCCCTCAACTCGGTCCCAACTTTCCTAACAAAGGAACCATTCCTCATAATTTGGTGAAGGCCTGAGCACACTGATCCTGTCTCCAGGGCCCAATTTCTTGGTGCTGCTTACCAGTTCGCAGAAAAGTCATGCTCTAGTACTGTAGCATTAACATGTGTTAACCGTAAACAGTGTTTCATAGTGGTGCTTGGCCAGGTTGTGCTGACGGTTGGTTGCATATAATGCAGAGATTTCCATTGTTACATCTCTCAGTTAAGCGAATATTCCATCCAAGGTAAACTTGCCTTTTGCTTTGCTTATTGTTTAGGGTCTCGATGAAATACTTTGAGCCACTGTTAGCATAAGATCAGGAACTTAGCAGTACATTTGGGCCCAGGTTAGTCTTCAGAATCCAGGGTAAATATTGCAACAGTAATGTTTGTTCCTTTTGTTCACAGAATTTGCTGAATAGTTGTTCCTAAGCTACCTCATGAAACTCTGAATTCTTTGAGAATTCAAACTATGTTAATGGAGCTACCTCAGTGTGTTACTTTACGTAGCCCAAGAAACCTCAGGCCATTTTGGATTTATATACTAATATTCATGAAATGTGGGCAGTTACACTTGCCATATATGTGTGTGTGTGCGGGGGGGGCTGCATTCTTAATCACGACAGGTTAATCACAGCATGGAGGAAGGACATAGACGGAGTTCGAACTGCCCAGACTGTAACATCTGGCCATTTACCGCTTTCTGGCGTGCCCAGTATGTCCATAGTCAGAGCGCAGCAAGCGCTTGCTAAGAACCGTCAGTTTCACAACCACAAAACCCCTTTGTACCCTATGATCGCCACTGCAGTTTCTTGCTGGTAATCCATACCCTTAAAACTTTGTGCTCTGAAGTCTAGGAAATTAAATATTCATGTCTTCGTTGGTGCTTGACATGATCTCACAACAGCATCAAACTAAATGCTTGTTTCAGGTTGTGTGCTTTAAATGGTTTTGTGCATTTATTGCCCCTATCGAATGCTTTCCTCTTGAGTTATTTTTGGAATAAATAGTAAAGTTGTTTACAAGATTTTGTGTTTTATTTGAATATTATTATATAATGTATACAGGAGTGTATTGTATGAGATCTTATGATCACTCCTTGTGATTTTGATATGAACTTAGCTTTCCATTGGTGGTCAACATGTTTGCCAGTCTTAGTCAAATTTGTACCAAGTCTTTGAAAACTGATGTTTTTGGGGGACAAAAATAAAATTACAAACATTGCATAGATAACGGAACAGTGTATCAAAACAAAAAAGTTTATTCTTGAAGGCAAAAGCAGGTCAAACATTAGGGAGTTTTCTTTCTCTATTTCCTGGTCACAGCAATAAGTTGTAATTTATTGCAAGCAAAATACTACAAAATGTTGCTGGGATATATGACCCTACTTGTCCAGCTAAGCTGCAGGCAGCAATCAGGTTTTTTTGGAATGTTTTTTATTATTCATCTGACTGGGCGGCGACGGTCATCAAGCACTTTGGAGTGCAAGAATCGTAACTCCTTCTGTGTCCTTCCTCTAGTAGTGTTAAGGCAACCTTTGTATCTTTAGTACAGTAGAACTGGCCAGTGCGTTAACTGCAAAAGAATCACTAAACTGTGGCCATATGTAACATACACATACGCACATATGGAAGCCTCCACGTAACACCATCCTTTTCTCAAGGCTACCGTGTTATTTGCAGCTGTAGTCGAGTAATTCAGACCCAATTTTTCTCGCAACTTCTGAGGTCAATTCACTTAAGTATTCAAATGTGCTGCATTATAGAGATTCACGTAATCAAGAAGCAGCATTGACAAGTCACATGGAAGCTCCTTGTGCCTTTGAGGGAAGTGCGTGCCTCTCATTCATTTGATGTGAGCACTGTATTCCACTGGTTGTGGGGCACTGTACCCTGCAGCAGCTATACTTGAGGAATGTAGCCAAAGTCAAGTCTTGGAGAAATGAGATGGAACCATGTCTGCATGTCATACTGCAGGTGGCATGCTGTTGGGGATTATGACAACAAATGTGCTTTGCCATTCCTACATCACAGGAAATGCTAGACTTGTTCAAACTCATGCCGAGAGCAACAATGTGCATGGAAGCCATGCTCCACAGAACACACAGAGCCTGCCTATGTGCAGTGCATGTACTAGCATGCGGTGAGATGTGCAATGAAACATTACTTGGTACTTTCAATTTTCCATGAAGCTTCCAGTTTATTGTTCATCATCAGTCTTATTTCTGATGAATCACAGTGTGGATCAGAATGCCATCACTGCCCGACAGGCTGTCAGTATTTATTTGGCTGAAGTAGTAGTTTTTCCCACTTGTGTTGCAAAAAATGCCCAGTGTGGATTTAGACTTTCCCTTTTTAACATGGTGTATATACAGTTGTAGGCTATTGGTATTTGAAACATATTGCATTTATAGGATTTTATTTTCATTTGGTTATTTTTGCATTGAAACTGGCATGCATAGGTGAAATATTTAGTTTTGTTTTGATATCAGAAATATTTGATCAAGATATGGAGTGAATGGAAAGTGATACTCCCTCAAGAACTAGAAAAGACTGTGGGCAGATGTATTCTACACAATAATCCCTGCAGGTTGCACTTTTGCATAAAGACCATTTTTGGCAAATACATGTACCTCTCCATCCAGCATCCAGTTTATTGTTCTTCACATAGTCTGCATATAATAAACCAGCTTGAAATAACACACCATCCCCCCAAAATCGCTCCTCTACCACAACTTTAATGTTTTGGAGCTGACAGAATCTGCTTTGTCACAAAGTAACTCCACAATAGTTTATACTTCACTGAATATGTCTTTTACAGGTTTTATGTATCTATATCTTAATCCAGCTTAATCAGTGGGAAATGGCATCACTTTGTATTGTTAACAATATTTAACATAAGATCATGCAAATTGATTTGATCATTAAAAGTGGGAGGCAATGTGGATTTGTATATTGCCGCTATTTACCTCTATAGAATGTTTTTTCTTGTTCTATAACTTTTAACTCATACAATATATTTTTGTTAACAAAATAGCACCAGGTTTACTGAAAATACATTCTGCTTTTGAAATCCTTGATTACATTGTTTTTTCATACAATTATGCTATACAGTTATTGAATTCTTTCTGAAGTGTACCTTAACTCGGGTCTCCCTTATGTCAATAAAGGCTAGGCCTAGCCCTTTACGATTAAAATATGGCCATTCTCTTCATACTTATTTACAAGAGTCAATCACTGTACATGACTTCCAGGTATATACACTATTTTACAGAATATTGCACATGGGGCACGTTTTCATTGCAAAATTGTAATTTCAGCATGAAATTGAACCAAAGAGATTAACAGTGGCAACAACTGCTTTAAACAGTGTTTAGTCTCATGAAAGATACAAATGTTATGACGTAACTGCCATTCATAAATACCTCAGACAGTCTCCCTATTCAACAACGAGCAACTTGACTTTGTATTCACATTTGATAATGCCTGCTGAGAAGTGATGATGCCTGCTGCATATATCACGTGCTAGCACCTGGATACGAGACACTTTAATCGACTCTGATTGCAAGAGTCTGTGTGTATGCGGCTTGCCACGCGCACGCCACGTCCATATAAGGAGATTCTTTTGTACATTTTGCACAAGGAATATATACTATAAAACGGACGGGGGGTATTTGGGAAAATGAAAGTAAAATTCTAAAACAAAATTGTTTGAAATCCATCATATATTGATTTTTTTTCCCTCTGACTGAAAAGATATTTTATAAATGGGAATAAACATGTGCTTGGCTGTCTTAAACTGATGTTTTAAGACCTGCGTAGGAGACCGAACACTGATAATGCCCTTGCCTGTGGCTCTGGCATTAGGTACGTCCACTGACTCCATTCTCCTGAGCTGGTCTGGACCGGCCGAGCACATATTAATTCTCTTAATTGTAGGTGTCTCGGGAAATATAAATCAGACACTTATTGTAAGGAAACGCAACCAGCAATGGGAAAAAGTTTCAAAAAATATAAATTTTATAGAGTGTTTACGGTATGCTCAACTGGCTATTACGCCGGTTTTAACCCTATCACTGTATTTTGAGTGTATTTTCCCTGTTTTTTGCAGCAGCCTAAAAATAAGATAAATGGTCATAACTTGGTCTGGTTTTCTTAAACTCAGGCAGACATTTAAAGAATAAGCTCTTTGCCGACAAAGCATTATTACAGCAGTAAATTCAGTTCAACCGTGGGATTGGACCCCAAATTAGTGTGAACTACTGCATTGCGGAACTGCTGCATCAAAATATTTCACAAAAGTAACATGCATAATGTCTACAACAAGAAAAGTAAGAAGCACTAACATGTGTCACTTGGCACTTGATTGGAATGGCTCCAGTGTGCCTTGCAAGAAGAAAAAAATTGTTGGTACAAAATTTTCTTCCAGTAGAAGAGCTGTCCACGATTTACTGCAATAATAGCGAGATCATTTAAAACAATGTAAAAATTACTTTTTAAAAGCTGCTAGAGTATTCCGTTCCATCAATACATTGTACATGTAAACTAACAGCTGGCAAGAAAGACTACTCAATCTGCTCTGATTTCAGCTGATACATCCTGGGGACAACATAACGAAATAAAAATACTTCCTGCATACTGTACATTTCAGTGTTGCATGCAGTACATGTTTACATATACAGTAAGTTCTAGCCACATTTTACAGTTTCATTTCAAACACAGTTTGACTAGTGTGCATTGCCAATCACACATTGAATATCTTTTGGTCTGCGAGTGGGTTGCCCAGAGTCAAAAGGTTTGCTATTTGTTTCTGCATTTTAATGAAATGCATTCATCTTGAGCATGCGTGTAAATGAGCAATATCATCATATCTGAATACTGGCCCCACACCAAAAATGGCCCCGGTGGTTTTGACTATACACGCCGCACATCACAGCTATGTCTATGCCACCGATTACGTGTTCTGCCACTTTGTGAGGCTGGTCGCGCCGAGCTGTTTCCAGTCTTCTTTGGTGATGCACATGTTGTCAAAGGCCGACAGGGTGCCGAGTACTGTTCCTCCATTATATGCAGAATGGTAACGCTCTGGTGATGCATGGACCTGGAATGAACAGAGGCAGGTCAACACGAGCATCTTCACAGAGAATGTGAATGGCATCCAATGTACTCAAGATGAATGTTGACTCAGAGCCAAAATGCAGAGAGAGGATATCAAATGTTCATGACCCTCTCTAGGTAGCTCATAGGTCCATCCTATAAATCATTTGTTTGAAAGACAAATGTGAATGTTTCACCTGCAGCAAATATACATTACTTACCTGTTCCAGTAGTGTACAATTTCAAAAACTTACCAAGTAAGGTAAGTTTAATGGAACTAAGCATCATCTTAATTTGGCTTCTGATACATGTAATCAAAATTTATACTGCAGTCCGTGTATTACATGTGAATCCTTTTGTTTCATCATTTCACAGTCATTTCTACTTTTTCTGCTTCAAAAATCTGGCTGCTGATTATCTTTTTACTGTATTGGGAAAAAAAAGGTGATTCCCATCATGTTGGATAAAAATTGGATATGCAGTTGGAATTTTTTTTTTAATGGAACATTTTTTTGCAGCAAAACAATTAGGGTGGGGCAATAGTCGATTATTTTTGTTTGTAATCATTTGTAACGAGTAACGTGACAATTTCGGATTGAAGCCTATAATAGATGTGTGTTGATATTGTCAGCTTTGTATAATCACCGGCTGAGTGATTAAAGAATGTCTGAAGTAAGAAAGCAGAGGGTGGTAGGTACAAATAGACACAAATTAACCACGTTTTTCAAGATGAACCAGCTAAACAAGTTTTTAAAAAGAGTACACAACGATTTGCACAAAACTTAGGCTCTGGGGTTAATGGCATAAGTTAACACTTATCTTTTTTAATTCATTTTTTTTTACTAAAAAGATACAGGTTCTGAGCAATTTCTATTAGGTTGAATTGGGTAACTGCAAATACAGCTTTTTTGTCCTTGTGAGTTTAACAGAATCTTGTAGATTTTTTTATGTCATGAATGGGCACAAATTATTTTTTCCCCATTCTCAGTTTCATGCCTTCTATTCTGCCCTCTGAATAAAGGCTGGTTTCATGCAAATGCACAGTGAATATGACAGCCAGAAAGTGTCTGTGTCCAAACTTGCAAGAGGTGATGTAGTCAACTTCTGCAGATTTGTGGCTTAAATTCTTGCTGAAAAGTTAGCAGACCAGTGGCTCAATGGAAGTGGCATGCCATCAGTGTTACTGGTTAGCAGTCCTTAGATGTAAGATAGTACCATACATTGCTGGCTTCCTGATGAGATTCATGCAAACTAGCCTGGGGCATCCAAGAATTTCAGTTAGCATCCACGAGTGTCACATAGCTGGGTTGTGTGAAGAGTTTGGAAGGGTGGAGAGGTACAAAGAAGAGGGGAGGGAGGGGGTATGACCCACCTTAACAGGGGAGCTCTTGGGCAACATTCGGCAGAGCTCACTCCTCAGTCTCTCAGCTAGACCAGGTAACAAGGTTGTCCCCCCACACAGATACACAGACCTGAAAGGAGTTGTTCATGTATTCAATCAATCATGTTGTGTTTATAAGTAAGTGAAACACCTGTTCTTAATATTCCAATGATTCTTTACTATTCCATACCCAGATTTTTATCAAAGTGAACCTGCCCTGGACATGGGATTGTTTCTGATTGGAAGACACCAATCTTAAATGAAGAACGAGACAATGGCCACAATGTGAAATCAAGTGAAACAAAACAAATCATGAGTCCTAAGACATACAGTACCTTTAACCTTGTCTTCGCCAAAAACTTGGGCCCCAGCATAGAGCAATATTTGTAACAAATAATATGCTGTGTAAAATAGCAAAATGTTCGATGGATGTGTGCTAACTTTACATACCTCGTGTGGACTTGTGAACACGATGCAGGAAAGGGAGATGTTCTATGGACTTGAGCGGGGGGAGTTGGAATCTGCCCCAAACATTTTATTCTCAAATCGTTGTGGTGCATTTTTATCATATATCTAGTCTTTCGGATATTTTTCAATAATCTCTTGATCTCATCACAAATTTCATGAAAATCAGACCACGCAGTGACCATTTTTCTGGGGCAGGTAAATTAAAAAAGTATACTTTTTCAAATGACATGGCCTTGAACTTCAATTGGCAACAACAAAAAACTATATGTCAGATTACAATGAAACTTCACGTGTACTGAGTGTATTGAGTGTCCTTATAAATAAGATCAGACATGGGACAGCCAAGTTGGGGGGGGGGGAACAGAATCTGCCCCTTCCCAGATGAGATGGTCCGAAAAACCCCGGCTCTTAAGGGTCAACCTGTCATCTGCCACTACGATTGTATACAACCAGATTATAATCACATACTCTTCATGAAGCTATTCCAGAAAGTCATTGCCACAGAAACTTGTTACAGATCCTCCCCTATCAACTGGACACAGTTTTCCTGTTTGTAGACTTCTAAATGCTTCTTATAGTGTGACACTTTTGATGTTTACTACTCTATTTTTAGCATTGGTCTTCTCACCTGCACATCTGCTTTCTGATGTCATTACTGCATGCCTGGATGGCATTGTAGACCAATGTATGCAAACCAGGATGATCTTTGCCCCAGACCTCTGGATGGAACAAACCCTCTGTGCTACGGAACCGGGAGTAGTCTAACTTGACAGATCTGTGAGAGGGAAAAATCAACTCAGGAGAGAACATCAGGAATTGTACACGCATAAATACCAAGGATACGCTTCCTGCATGCATAGAAAGTTTGGAAATGTGGTGCAAGTTGACCCAAGAGGTCTTCAACAGAGGGTATTTTTTAAGGAATAGGCCAAGGTTCCAGCAACTTTCATAGTCTGTTTTGAGCCAATAGGGATGATTCACAATGCATGTACAGTGCACTACCGAGAGGTTGCCACAAAGGGTCCATTTCCAAGTTTTGTTAACAAAAACATGGCATTTATCTATAGGTATTTAGGAGTCTGGGAGCAACATCAATGAAAAACATGATGTTGATTACACATTTGGCACTCATACATGTAATACATGATAACATCAGGTGCAATTCACATTCCCTAGCTGTGCAGCTGGCAAATAAAATTTGTCAATCTTTTCTCACCATGCACCACGAAAATTGACCTCTTCGTATATATGTACACTGCACTGTGTGCATATATACATGTAGCCTGCATTTGACTCATCAGGTTGAAGTTTATCTCTGATCTTCTTGGCATGAAATGACTGAGACTATTTCTATCCCCCCCTCCTCCCCAGATGGGATACCAGCCCACCACAGGCTGCTCACTGGTACCCATTTATACTCTCCTGAGTGGAGAAAGGCAGGTAGGGGTGATGTGGCTTTAACACCCAAGGACACAACATGTGGCCAGCAGCTGGATTCAAAGCCCTGACCTCTGGTCATGAGTCACAGACCTTAACCACACTCTCCCCCTGGTCCTTTTGGGTGCATTGTCCTATTTTCAAGGCGAGGCAAATTCTCAGTCAGGCTGAGGTGTTTGAAAAGTACCCCTACAGTTTCCTTTGAAAAAAGGAGTTTATGTACATAAGGCCCAGGATCAACTCCCTAGATTCAGGGGCTTTCATCTGAGGGCAAAGCAGACAAAAATGCTATTGAAAAATTGTCCAAAGAGCCTGAGAAAGAGGCTGCTGACAGACTTGGGAATGTTAAAAAAATCCAAAAGTTAAAAATTTAACTGGTTAACCTAGAAAAACTGGACAATTAATTGAAATCTGAAGGACCCAACAACACTTTGTTTTTGTTTGAGAGGCCTCAGAGACTTCAGTTGCTCGCAATGAGGCTCCGAACTTTGTTGATTTCACACAGTTTTCAATGGGGCTTGAATTTAGCGAAGAGCACCTTTAGGACAATATCCTTCCCTGGCTTTTCCAAGAATTATGAAAATCAGCAGTGTGAAACACTTTCTATGAAACATGACAAACAGGAAAAGAAAGACAATAAATCTTTAAAAATACAAAGCCCTCAAAATCTAAACTGAATTGGCCGTTAAAAAATGATATGATGTTTTACATCTGCACAGACTCTTACTATTTTTCCAGACTTGGAAATACAGCCTTTCTTGGTTCTAACAGAAACCTGCTAGAATGTGTCACTTTGAGTACACTGTGCCAAGTGGATAATTGTTAACTGTTGACATCCTGCATGTTTATGTGTAGTTTTGGAAGCATTTTGGAAGCCTCTGAAAAAAAAAAACTCAACCATTTTTCAACTTCAATACAAAAAGAATTTAACTTGACGACCCCTTGTTGAGGTGGAATACCATTTGTGAATGGATGCTGGCCTTTTCCCACAATGCATGGTGTGAAAGTTGTCTCATCATGAGGACCTGTCGGTGGCACAATGTGCTGTGAACAAATCTTAGACTGGCCACATGATCTGCATTTTTTGTCTAGGGCATTAGCTGCCAACACACCTAGGTGTAATTTAAAGTCAAGTCCATTTTGGATGCAGCCTTAAGAAGTGACCTTCTGACACTTACCTCGATCCATTGGGAACGTCAAACTTTTCTACATCGATGTAAGTGCTGCAGAGTTCAGGGTCTAGGGAGCAGAACTTGAACTCAGCATGATAGTCCTGAGCTACGAAGCAGGCCTGACAGGAGCAATCAAAAGGCACTACCTTCAGTCCACACAACTAACATGTCCTGTCGCCTTCAGGGTGTGAAAAATCACTGTCTTCTCCCTATGCTTTGTGAGCTGTAAAATATCATTGAACTTACATGCAAGCCTCGTGTGACACATGATAAAAGGTCACTATTTCTTAACCAGGTAAGGCAGCCTCCTAAGGTACAAAGGCACTAATACTAATAGCAGAGTTTCATTACATAATCTTACAAAACTGACGGCATAATTTCTTCCATGACTCAAAGCTTTAAAGCACCCAACACTGTAATGTGATAGGGGACAAAAGTGGGAAAAATGAACTGCACAAGCACATATTGGGGGAACATGTGATAGAATCACAAATATGTACATGGTGTGATCTGCAAATGGTGAGCTTTGTCATTTTGGTGCATATCAATTTCAAATTGACACTGTCCTGTTTTCCAAACTGTTTGATTTGTGGTTCTAGACAACGATGATCCATGCTACCTAGAACCATCTGAAAAAGCTAGTGTCCAGATAATTTTGAAGTTGATATGCACCCCAAAGACGAAGCTTACCATATGAAGGGTTTTTGCCTATATCACATCAAATAGGTACATGCTGCACATTCATGTATCATGCTGTGCATGCTGCATGTATTGTTTATGGGCAAACACCACTAGGAGCCCACGTTTTCAACACAGACATCATACATCATCTAATCATAGTCAAAATTTCTAAATGTTATGTATCATCCACTCATCCTTACGAATCGGGTCCCTGTAAATGGACCATACCCAGCAGCTTGTCTATGCAGGTTTCGGAGTCGGGGAAGGGGGTAACATAGGGATGAACATGTAGAAAAGACTTCTGACATTTGTACCTTTTAAAAGCGTAGCTGCATGCTTCCTGTTTGTAAAAAAAGAGGCATCAGCCTGGATACACCACTGATCACCCCCAAATGATGAAGCAAGGATGATTTCTACCATGTTCCTTATGCAAAATGGTACAACTATACAAAATCTCACCCTTTCCTTTAGATATCTTGCTATGTACATCTCAATCTCTGTGAAGAATCTGGTCGAAAGGAAGATAACAAAGATATTGATATGGCCATGTAAATATAAAAATAAATAGTATGGCATACAGGCTAAAATGACTCTAGTTATGATTAAAAAGTCATGGGTAAAGAGATCCCATGATAGGCAACATGATGACATAAAGTCAGACTGTACAAATGATAATGTGCAATTTTGTTTTCATTTTTTTCCTGGGTTAGAAGGAACTCCTACAATAAGGGTAACGTTCCTTTGTATACACATGGGATGGTAGACATTGATCAACCTTGAGCAATGGCAACACCAAGGAAACATGGCAACTTCTCTCCCCCGGAAATTTATCATCCGCCACGTAACCTTTAACAAGCGATGGTTCAAATTATGAGGAGTTCACCTCACCTCACAAGGAAATGATTAATGATATCTTGTGAAAAGCAATGCTGCACAAATGCACGGCTAATTCATGACAGGGAGAAACTGAAGTTATGAACTGGTGTTTCTTTACAAGGGTCATTGAAATGCCCTGCTTTTTCTGAGAATTACATGCAAACCATTTTTGTCTTTTTTTGGGAGAAAACAAAAAAGGAAACCAAAATTTTGTTAAAGGTCACTTTCAGGCAAAAAAAGCTGCTAAGGTCTGATTTGATGTGTACAGAATTGCACAGCTAAGCGCAATTTGTGCTAGATATATATGGGTGAGCTAAAGCCTTTATGCAGTGCCTCTAACAACATCTGTGAGCTTTCCTAATGAGTGGTTGCAGTATAATCTCTTTCCCACATGGAGTCAATAAATGACTAAAATGGAGTTAACACTCAATGAAATTGTTAAACCTCTGTCATGACTACTATATTTTCATTGGCTTAGAGGGATCACATGACTGGCTGTCATGTCACCCTAACCGTTGGACATTACATCACAATGTGATATACCGGTACTGTAGTCCTCATCCAACAGAACAAACCACAATGCAGGGACTACCAACCGGACTATTCATCGGTACCTCATGGCCGTTTTCCAATACTAACTTCAACTGTTTTTTAACTAGCTGACATTGCAACTGTAAGCGCATTAATTAGTTTAATAGTGCCACAAAACATCAAATAAGAACCAAGAGAGCCAAAAATTACAGTAATCCTATTTAATTTCAAACGCTTCAGGCCCACAATCGGGGATTGGTTTTGGGAACGAAGCCTGAGACGGAGCCCAAGTCGAGTATTGGAAAAGGGCCTATGGCTACTTTCACCATAGTATTCACTGCGAGCATTGAACTGGCACCATAATCAGCCACTGCAAGTTTTTGCCAACAGTTGAAGCTTGAGTCTTCGTAGAAATTCCTAAACATAATGTCTACTGAGCTTAAAAACACATGTAGATTTTCCTTCAAAAATCGTTTTTAAGATGTCAAGATAAATGGCTTTCAAGCAAGACACATGTGACCAACAATGAGTCTAGGAATATTATTCAACTTTCTGTGTCGTAGAAGACCGAGATACTCGTCATTTTGATTAAATTCAAGACCTCCAGGGAAGGAAAATATTACAAAGAATTGAAGAAAGAGGTATAACAACAACTGCTGGTGACTCCTGTGATATGAGGTATGATGTTTTAACAACCTCATCAGGGGCTCATTGTACCCTTGGCTTTGCCTTGGGTGCCATAAGACCCACATTGCGGCAGTCAGTAACTGTTAAATGCTGTGCTGACTTTGAGTAGTATCAATGTGACAAGCTAAATTTCAACACACACCATGTTACATGTACAATTTCAACAGTGCAAACAACATCACACAAGGAAAGAAGTTTGACGAGTATTTTTCAAAGTTAATCCTGATGTAGTTATGGGTAGATTGACTATAGTGTAGCCATTAATAATAGCCAGCATCTGAGTTCAGAATTAAGAAGACATGGCACTTTATGGGAGGCTGTGCCCCAAGTGATTAACTGCCTAGAGACTATGACAACTCAGCACTGACTCACCGATAACCGCCCTCCGTCAACAGCCGCTGTAAGTGCTCTGTGATCTGTCGTCCGCCAAACGGCAGCCTATACACTCCTTTCTGGATGATGTATCCATCCACAATGGGCACTACATCAATCCTCTCCCCAATGTTCACTACATTACCAGAAAAAATGATCAAGGAACAACTCAGAAACGGGTGATAAGCATGTAAGTTACATGTAAGTTGTGGCTGCCAAGTGCCTTGCTTATGGACGCAATCACCATGCCTGACTTTCTTGAGACTCTTAAGAATAGTGATAAACTAATTCACTGACCATAACAAGAAGCCGATAGTACTGTTGTGCAACATTTGCATGGAGATCATATCATTCTGGTATTTATAAAATGCCAGCATATTGCTACTCACAATGTAGTAATATGGGAAAAGTGTTACCTCATTTCCGGGCTTATAATCAAAGTTACTGAATTCATCCAGGCTTGAGGTCTTGGTCATGATTGTAAAAACCTACCAACTATCCCAGAGGTCGCCTTGTACGAATAGAGGGCCATCAATGCTTGCTCCTGAACAAACACGCCTTCTGGGTTGAAACGATCAAAGATCATCTCCACTACTTTCTCCTGTTAAGCAAATACCCAAAACATCTTGATTTCTTGACTTACTACATGCCACTTTCACCAGGATTCACAACAGATATAACAGCCTATTGTAAACTGCTGGCAACCTGATCTTACCTGAAGTTTCTGTTTATGAATGATAAACAGAGGTTCTGAATTTTTTTTGTCTCTGAGAAACATTTTGCTTCAAAAATTGAAACAAACTAAACTTGTATCAATACTCAATACATTTGATGTTCATTTAACAATTTTAATTTAAAGTCTTTACTCTATGAAGTCTATTGGCAGTGACACCTATCTCATGTTGCCAAGTTTGTTTAATCCTCAGGAAGATATGTAGCAAAAATGACAAAACTGTGTAGCTTGTGGGAATCCACAAGTGACTTGCAGCAACCAAGACTTGGGCTCTAGAGGTTCTGAGCCTAAGATGTGTGGGCGGTCCTGGAGAAAGCTATTTATGGAGAATCAAATAAAAAAAAAAGGAAAAGGGGAAAAGTCATCTTCACTGAAGGCAAACTTCAAGGAATGAACTATGACTCACTTTCTTAGGTTACATTTACAGGACCTTATGCGTGCTAAGGATTTGCCTCGCAGCTACAAATAGCCGACATAGTCACTATTCATAAAAGAACCTTTCTTATCTTTTTCTTTGTTTTGAGAATTCACTAACACCTTTGCAAAGGCAAACACATCTATATGCAGAGTTTTATGTAGTTTTGATATCTTGGAACTTCAGGTGAATTTGAGCTTGCTGCTTTTTTTACAAGAGGTGATCGGAGTTTAACATTTTGGCATCTCCGTCTCTGATAATCAATATGACCTTCTAATTTCTGTCTTGCTACACAGTTTGGATTCATTTCAAGAGATCACTTTATCGCCGACATAAGCAGGGTTTATTTTTAGAGACTGCAGGGATGACTCAATGTCGGCAGTCCATGACACTAGCTAGCACATTATCTGTTAACGGAGCATCACATCAAATTTTCCTACGGCAAAAATGCCACATAAAACATGATTCAAGCCAAAATCATTTCCGTAGCCAGTGATTAGCAGGCTTCTTCTTATCTGTGGACATCACATAGATCTATAGATAGTATAAGCTGTTAATTTCTTTTCCGGAATGACTGTTTATTTCAACAGAAATGACTCAATGATGAAAATCTGGATATGGCAATTTGCTACAAGTCAGTGACCATTCCTCTCTTTAAAGCTCCCTCAAATGATGAGGTAATCAATATCTTGGCTGGTCTTAAATGTGCATTTAAGACCAGCAATTATCAGTGTTCATCCTCCTGAATCGGTCTTAAACATTAGTTTGAAACTGGCCAAGCGAATATTTATTCCTATTCATAAATACCTTGTTTTAGTCAGAGAATCAAAAGAAATCAATGAGATAGATTTCCATCGATTTTGTTCTAGAATCTTACTTTCATTTTTCCGAACACCCCGGTCCATTTTATTGTATATTCCTTGTGCAAGCTGTCCAGAAGGATCTCCATATTTGGACTTGGGGCGCGTGCGTGGTGCATTCTGCTTGTTGCGTCACACACACACTCTTGACCAACAGGGATGGATTAAACTGTCCCGTATCCAGGTGCCCATGCGTTTTTACACAGCGGGCATTGTCAAATCTCAGAGGGCATTATCAAATGCTAATACACGGTCGCGTTGCGCATTGTTAAATAGGGAAACTGTCTCAGACATTTATGAATGCCATTTATTGGGCAATCAGTTGTGTGCGTGTGGGGGGTATATTGCACTGGATATGCATAAAATGGACAAGGCTGGGACGGCTACTGGTGTGCAAAACAATGCAGCCTTAGGCATGTTGAAACACGTCAGGGATCACATGCCTTAGTGCTGCACGCACAGCAGGATAGACCAGTTGATGATACTCTTACTTCTTCCAGCTGAATGCAGAGCTGATCTTTGGATTTTCCCCTAGAAACTAAACTTCAGAGGCACATCTTTTTGTTATTAGCATTTTCTCAACAGAACTGTAGCAATGTTGCAGTTGAGTCTTCCAAGTCCTTAACTTTAGTATCATAAAAGTTGATGTGATGAGAAAAAAAATTAAAGTATTAATGATGACAGAGTAGGGCGTACTTTCAATGAACTGAAATAATACAAGTTGGCTATGCAGATCACGCCTCTCCTCCAGATGCTCCAATTCCATCACATAAACAGGAGCCCAAGTGCTTAAACAGCATATTTCATGCATAATTCTAACTAACTATGGCACCTTACATTTCAGCATTCTAGTCACGCTCAGAAAGGGATGAGACTGCAGTACTTGTGGGGTACATAACGAAGGAAGGAACATACCGTGAGTTTTGGTCCAAGGTTGAAGGGCAGGATGACCATGAGTTGGTATGCAATTGGATCAATGCCCAGCTCAGTGAAGGCTGTGTCCAGGAGTCCCTCCACTGTTTGCATGCTCAACTTGAACTGTGAGAAGCAAGATAAACAAGGCGTAGAAAGGTGGAAGGAAGCTGGGACTACTGCATGCAGGTTACAAATCAGGCATTCTGGACTACGGCTTGATGTGTGATAGTACATTAATGGCTGAAGTTGAAGCTAGGAATATCCCTCCCCCCAAAAAAGAGGAAAGACTGACTGTTTTAGATTCAGCCTAAGTTTTGACAGAGTTACTGAATACACAAGGCGATACTTGTTTGGGCAAGTAAGGCGTGGAGTAGAAATGGATAATTCTGCACACCTATGGGGTCTTGGCATGGCAGCTGGGTGTACTGTGCCACAGAAAGTGTTCAAGCTGATTGCAATTTAGGCTCTTGAGAATCAATGGCAAAGAGGGAATGATTCATGAAGCATGAATCATCATCAAGATATTTTGTGTTTGGCAAGAAATCCTGAGACGAAAGACATCTGACTTATTCTGAGCACACATTTTATATTGAATTGTACATGCACACACACACATAAGTGTGTAAACGCCTTTAATCGTGGACTCGCTATTGTTCATCTTTTGTTCATACTTTAACTTTTTTGGAAGACCTCCCATATGTTTTGTACATGTTTTCCAACAGAGGACTCTTCGGCTACCGTGGACCCTATTGTCCCCTATTGTTATAGGTCCACGATTGAAGTTGTCAATCGGGGACCCTCTGTCAATCAGGGACCTCATTATCCTCAATTGTTCAGGGTCCCCAATTGAATGCAGAAACAAACTCACACACACACACCATGACACAAAAACCAAACAGACAAAACATAAATCTGATTAGCGGACCTTTGTTGACCTGAAAAATTACTCACTGACTGGACATATTACTGTCATGCACATGGCAATCAATTTCAACCCTGACTTCCTGGTTATTCCCTCATGATGAATATCATTTAAAGATCAACCACGATGCAGGAACCCAATATGACACATTCTCTGTCTTATAATGTTCAAGAAAGCACACAATTAAAAGCATCTATAGGGAAGTTTCACAAAATGAGCAGGTTCTACCTTTATCCCCCAGCCAGGAGATATGTTTTGAGGGATCTGGGAGAGTGAGGGGTCAAAGAAAAAGTCACGCTAAGAACCTTGGTCCGTCGCACCTTGACTTGTTCCTGCAGAGAGGGGTTCCTGAAGGGTGACGTCAGCTTGGACAGGCAGCGGACCTCGGGGGTCAGGGCTTCAAAGCCGTAGGCCACGCGATCCTTGTGCTTGGTGTTGGTGGCCACCACACAGGGGAAGAAGACTTGAGGGTTGGGGGAGTCACTGTCTGAGAGGACACCGGCACGCACTGAGCAACCACCCATGTCGATGATGGCAACATGCTGAAGTCATTGGAATTAGAGTGAGCAATAAAATAAAGCCTGCTTAGAATACTGTAGATCTGCTTTCAGGTCAAATGATATTTAAAAGCAGAAATAATTCAATTACATCTATTCTAACACTTTTTAATGCATGCAGGCAAATTCAGTTCCCGTACTTCATACACAGTTCAATGATGGACTTTAGCGCAGGCTCTGGAGAAGATGGACACCGGTTTAAAACTATTGATGCTCACCCTAACTTGCTAGGAGCAAGGTCCATGGGCATGCTTTCTCAGCTGCATTCTGGGACATCTTTTAAGAAAATGCAAGGATTATACATTGGCCTTTAGGGGGGTGGCCACGGGGAGAGTAAAAGAAGACATAGCAGAGGTTTACATCCCCTGAACAAGTCTTGAATTATTGGGGAAAATAATGGAATTTATGGCTTTACCCGATAATCTAGGGTGACCGATTCTAAAGTTTTTGCTATCGACTCTAAAATGTAAAACAAAGAGAAGTGTTACAACATGTCTAAATCTTTGTGAAGAAAAGTGAAATGGATTTCTGAAGCATTCTGCTAATACTTGATGCAGAAAATAAGATCTAAAATGGACAAGTTGACATTCTGGAGGGACAAACAATCACTTGCTCTGGTCTTCTGGGAATTCTAGAGAGGAGTATTCAGTCATCAAAATTCCAGACTGACCTTTCTGATGGTTGGCACCGCTGGCGATTTGGGTGTTGGGCTGTACACGCCACTCTCTGCATTCAGTATGACTTTCCAATCTTCAAATTCCATTCGGCTGCTGCATCGCAGCAGTAACACTCTGCCCCTCTGGGAGGAAGAAAAATAATTGGGTTGGACCAGTTTGAGGGCTGACGTGTGTGTCTAGTCTGACCACAAAGGGGCACTCACATTTCACTGAACACAATGCTAATCTAGTGTCTGTAGTCTGAGTTCCAGATCTGACGTACTAGTAAAATACGGGTCAGGTAGCTGTCAGTGTTGAGTGACCAATCTGACAGGCATACTTACCGATTCAAAGAAGGTTTGAAGTTTTCCAAGCACGTTTTCATTAACCTACAGTTGTAATTGTTGATGTTCATGTTGAACATTTGCATCTCTGTGTAAAAAGAGTTGTATTTAAAACAAACAGAATCCTAAGTTTGGAGTTTTCATCCTAAAAGAGCCCAGGGGTGGGTGGTGGGTGGGGTGGGAGACAGCCTGGATTCCCCTTTGACATTTTCTCTGATATCGTTTGAATGCATGTTGTTTGTGTAGAGCCATTGGGAGTTTTTTAGTAATGTCTCCAGATAATTTTGACACCAATTCTAAGAAAATCCAACATACCAAATTGTCCATTTCTCCAAAATAGGTTTGATTTTTCCCACTGACCTGCTCAATGCAAGCAAGCCAACATGAATGATGCTGTAAATCATAAATGATGAAAGCATATGTCCGATTGAATCAAAACTTCTGCGATGTATTCATAATGAATTTTTATTTACAAATATAGGTGGTATCAAGTTACAAACAAATCAGGCATAGGACAGCCGAGATTTTGTAGGGGGGCTCTGCATTCTGTCTGGGAGATGGCCTGGGCCTCTGAGGAAAAACATACACGCTATTTTCAGGTTAAATCACACCAGTAAAGAGCAATGCCAGAGGTATTGCCTTGTGCAAGTTATGGAACTCACCACCTGCATGTAGAAAATAGCTTCTTGGATAGAGATTGTATCCTATGCCCTCACCAAAGAACAATACCAAAACCAAACAACTAAAACTAAAAAGCCATACCCACAGCAACCAACGGACTATTCAGATTCTGCACAAGCTGAAGGTGCTGTTATAAATGTTCAAAAGTACATTAACCACACAAAATAATTAAGAAACCAAGGCCACAGCCAGTGTGCTTTTAACACCTGACTACGTGCCGTACTACTGGGACTGCCTGCTCATTAAGTATGCATCATTTTGACTCCCCTTCCCTTCGCCATCCTTCATGGTCAATAGCATCACATCCAGGAAAGTGCTTCAACGAAGACACATCAAAAGTTGTCAATCCTTTCCTCCCTACCCTCTTGACAACCCCTCAGGAGTTGTAAACCTAACCTAACAGGTTCAAGTGGGCCGTGACCTTAATGACAGGAAATCCCACTCCTCAAGAATTAACAAGGCGGAATTTGGCGGTTGTGAGGTTCTGCTCATCCCGGCCACCAGCAAGTGATGGATCCGGCATGTGGCTGTGTGTGGGTATTGCGCGGGTCTGTCTGCCTTTCCTTGCCACGACAGTGACTCACCAAGTCTGTGACCTCGATGCATTTGTTGCTGATCTCCGTAATGCGACCACCGACGAGCTGGATGTAGCCCAGGGATTTCTTGGCTTTGTGGTCCTGTCAAAGGAGTATCAAGAAGAAAAGAGAGCATTGTAATGCTCTGTGTTGCACTTGGACTCAAATGCTATGAGCAACTTGCCATTACTTACAATATATACTTGCAAAATCAAAGTCTTGAAGGCAAGGTGTCAGAAGTAGTATTCATTAGATTTAAAACATTCAGAATTGTACTTTAATCATATTACCTATGGCAAACCCAACAATACTCTTTGCGATTTAAGCTATACACCTGGAGGGGTAGGATAAAAGAAACAGGCATATGAATGGGCATGAACAAAAAAACCCTGAAAATAATTTGTGATGAAATTAATCATGGGGAGACTAATGTGAGCGTGGAGCGTGAAGGCCTTATGGCATGGGGTGCAGGGCCCACTTAAGGGCCCCGGAAAATTTTGGATTCTAGATGCGCTGTGGAGGCAATCCTTGCCTCTAATTTACTGAAGCAAAATCTTCTCAATTACAAGGACATTTCTCATTATTTAAAAAAATTACTCTGATTTTGTTTTACTAATTAATTGGACTTGTAAAACCTGTGATGCAGTTCGTTCTTCTTTCACAAAAGTGTTTGTGGTGCTTGTAGTACTTAGCTGCATGCTGTATCAATGCTTTTGCTCCGGAAGTACCATACTTAATACGAACACAACCACTCACACCATGCTTCTCCAGGGTCGTAAAGCTTACGAAAACAGTCACCCACCACATGCTCATCTTCCGTTTCATCCAGTAAATTTGTCACACCACAACCAGTTCCACTTGTTTTCATTTTGTTTCCTGACTGCATATGTGTACAGTACATGAACATGTACCAATTTCCAAAAGCCACTTCGCACATGGCCAGCTGGCCATGCGGCCTCGAGCTCTGCCAAGAATTTGTCTCTATGAAATACGGACCCATTTGGAGTAATGCACATGCGTATGTATGATAATTAGGAGAATGGCCAGTCATGTGAGAGGAATTAACCAATAACAGGTAAGAGTCTGATTTTTACAGGGTCGGATTTTTGTGGCGAAGCGCGAGCTCACGATAGCACTCTTAACTGGTTCCCTCCTTTGGTTACGAAAAGAGAATTCAGGTTTTGTGGGAATCCGCAAAATTAGTACATATCGAAGGGTCCCGAAGCGTCGTCTAAATTGAATTGTTTCAAGGAACAAATTTCACTAAGTTTTAGGGAAGTTTGAGCGCCGCGTGGTCAACCTACATTTACCCCCCTACAACTTGCCCCCAAATTTATTCCATTTTTAAACTGAACTCGAAGACCACAAATATGAAGGTGAAAAAAATGGAATTCCGGCCGCTTAAACAAGAAAGATTCCCATGCCTGAAAGAAAAAACTCTACAACCTCACCAAGACTTAACATCAGCTCCTGATATTTGAAAAAGAGGATTTAGTGTCTGGCTTGAAGTTGGGATTTGGATTCCACACTGACTTGGGTTGATTTTGGTTTGCAGTTTAAATGTGGGGCTCTTTCATATTACCTTCCTTCTTCACAGGTACCGGCAGGGTGAGCTTTTAATGTACCGGTCCATTTATCATGTTTATCGGATAGACTTTGTTATCATGATACTCTGGAATCAGCAATTCAGTGCTTGTGTATGGTTCACTGGTGATGTGCAACCTAGGCCAGGACTGGAAAAATAACGGGCATACGGAATCCACTGACTAGCAGCTACATCTTCAGGCATGGGTACTGTTGTAGGCTGTTTACAGACATATCATTCTGATGCTGCTGCACTGATTATAGTATAGAGCTACCAACAGTGATGCCTGCCTTTCCACTAGAAAATGCTGTGCAAGAGATCAGCAGTCACCAGCATTCTAACTGGATTAAGGAAGTGGGCATGCAGGGAATTCTAAGCCTTGGGTGTTGGGCACGTTCGGAACATACCAACCTCGTAATAGAAGAGGTTTCCCTGTTTGGATCTGAAGTAGCGTTTCTTCCACTTCTTGATGAAGGAAGCCCTGCGTCTTCCCATAGGCAGCTTCTCCATGTAGCCCTCCATGCTGACCTCCCCTGCCCGGCACAGGGGGCTCTCCCTATCCTGCTGGTGCCGCTGGATGTTGGAATATAGATCCTGCACTATGGGAATCTGTATGGAGTAATGTACATGTAAGAATGTGGGAGATCAAGTTATACATATTTATTCTCTGCGCTGCTCTACACCTACATACATAAAGAGACAATCAAATCCAAACGGTAAGACTGGCAAGGCCTCAAAGTGATAGATTTTTCTGCTTTCATTGCGTATTTCTTTAAATTACATTTTATCCACGTACTTTATTCAATGTACATTTCTGAGAAGATAAATAATTCACTTTGCACGGGGAAAAAATCACCTTCAATGAAACTGCAGTTTTAAAATCAGCAACCTTAGCATTATGAAATCCAAGCTGATTCAGCCAACTTTGTGTCAATTCTTCAGCACAACAATGTGGATGGCATATTAACCATATGAAAACCTGCCAAAATCACCATACTCTCCATTTGAATCATTGATAAATGTAGGCTCCAAAAGGAATATTTTGGTCTCTGTTACACCTGACCTGTCCAATTTGACTTGGGAATATCTCTGAAATAGATTTTAAACTATTTTAATTTGTTTGGCAGGTAATTTGCATTACTTAATAACTCATGGAAATTAAAGTGCATGTTAAAAACTTACAAAATCCTATGTCAGGTATGAGAGGAACATGAAAGAAATTGGACCCAAACTTTATGGAATGACTCATTTGCAACAATTAACACTGTGCCGTTATGTGCTTCACAAATGGACTTGAAATAACTTAACTTTAGAAAAGATGTGACAAATACATGTAGGCTTATTCAATTAATAAAAATTAGTAAAAACCAATTTGTGTCCCAAATTTGGTGGTTTTTCGTATCTTTATCACAATAAGAGAGAAAGAGCTACAAGTTCATGTAGGATTGACAAAAATGTGTACTAGGATTTCAATTTTATCTTCCAAAGTATTTTCTTGCTTACCGGATCCCATTTCTTGACATTATCCCTTTCTTCAAAGTGAACAACCTCACTGGTATCACTGATGCCAAATATGATGGGACCATCATATTTGTATATGACCTCCTCGTGGTGGTTGGAGGACAGACTTCCCCTTATGCTCCTATCCAGATGTTCATCGGCCTCACAGCAGTCATCTGCGGGTGGGAATTCATAGATTGCTGTGTCGTCAGCGGTAGGGACTGACGAGTTCAGAATATGGTTGGTGCTGTTCTCATCCAGCCTGGCCGAGTTGTTCATGGGAACCTCTGTGTTTATGTACATGGAGGAGACCGCCATGTAGTTCTGGCCGGACTCTGGCCTGTTCTGGTGGCGGCGAGGTACCCGCAGGACTTCCTCATACTCTGATTGGTCCAAACTGTGTGTCAGTTGGCTGTGGTGGTGAGCATGGTTGCGCAACTTGGCTGTTGTGGGGCCATTCTGACCTTTGACCTGCCTGTCCATTCGTCTCATGGGAGTCTCATAGCTGCCATCATCCTCCAGCCTGGAGCTGTTGAGGCTGTACATGTACTCAGGCTCGGCAAGGTGAGGGTCTTCCTCTGGGACGTCTGAGTAGTCGCCGCTTCCGATGCGGAATGTATCGCTGGAGCTGCTTGTCTCCTGATAATTGCTCTTTTGCTTGACTGTGGGAACCTCCTCACTCAGGAGGTCATCCTTGCTCTTGCGGATGGCCTCCTGCATGGCCTCCACCTGGGCAGCCAGGCTCTGGACAAAGTCCCGGCAGGACTTAAGGTCGGTGGGCCTGGGTCCCTCCGGTACCACCTCCTCACTGATGGATTCTAGCTCGGCAAAGGTCTGCGTGTCTCTTTTGTGACTCAGGCAGCTGGAGCACTCCGAGGAGATCTCAGAGCCGTCAGAATCCTGATGGTCAGTCAGTTCATCCGAGCTCACCTCAGAGCTCAGTTCTGAGCTGCTCTCTGACTTCTTCTCACTCTCCCATTCTACGGTCATCAACTGAAATACATGTAATATAACAGAATGTTATCAACAGGATACGTGCCGGTACATGTACATTTATACTGAACATCTTCAGTAAATCTCCAATGAGTGCATATTAAACTGAACAATTAATGAATTCAATGCAAACTGCACTCGCAGAATTCAGCAGTCGTAATAAATAATGATATTCACAACAACTAATGCACTGACATGAATTCAAGAACACAATTCCCCTTGATAGGTACATCAATTATCCATTTGCTCTAACATTATTAGAGAAAACTACTCCAACTATGAATTAAGTATCTTGACAGATTAATGTCTTCAAGCAACTAACTTCCTTGCCAGTTTGAACAATTTATGCAGAATAACCAGAGATAATGTAATTGAAGGACAGTGCACTCCATGATCCCCTAGGTGGATCCAAATAAATGTAATCAATCTGAGAATTAAAAAAAAAAACCATGTCTGTGACACTGTAATCAATGCTATTAATATACATGTACTATAGGTGATCTCTGAAGGCTTTCTAGCTCCATTAACCCTCATCTGTGAGGACGTCTTTGCAATGCAGAAGTATATCATTCTGTCAGGATTAGTTAATTGCATATGTCATTCCCACAATATATTTGCCATATTCAGTTGAAAAATTGAACATAAAAAGGTGATTTTGAAAAAACGAACAAAACCAACCAAAACCAAAAGGCAGATCATGGATTTCAGGACCTTTCCTTTATGGTCACATCTCCTTCCCCTTCTCCCTTCCATCCTTTTCATTGCATCAAATCAATGAATCATCATTGCAACGTACCACTGTCAAATGTGTCAAGCATTATGTGGAATTAACAGTCACCAAGACACCTGTTGGGCCAGGGGTTGGCCCAAGGAGGTCACTACGTGAGACAACTGCTGTATCAACCCACAGACACCTCTTGCTTTTCACTGTTATTAACCCCCGAATTTTACAGCTACGGTGGTAGTTCAAATACACCAGACTGTCTGTATTTCACATACTTTTCCTATAAACTCGAGGAAGTCTTGAAAAAAGTCAGAAACCTCAGCCTTCAATCCATTTCAAGTCAAAATTTCTGACTTAACCAGTCGCATAACTTGTAGCACTTGGAAAACTTCCTCTACTTACAAGTCAGAGTATGTTATTTTAGCACTCTAAACCTACTACCAGTAGGCACAAATTAATTAGTGCAGGGTCCATTTAGTATTTGGAATGTCATCATAGCTTCAGTAATGTAATGATCAACTGACACTGATGTTTATGACGATACATGTACAAGACTTCGGTCATTTTATTTTGTAGATGCAAGTCCTACTTCCATGTACAAGATGACTACCTTTTGCTAAGTGTTGAGCCCCATTTTTATGAGCATTTATAACTGCACAAAGAATCTTTATCAAAGCAAACCTGCTGTGCACCAACAGAAACACTGAAACAAAGGTGTCTGGGGAGACATATATTTATCAGTGTACATGTAGATGGGATAGAGTTGGTCAAGAAAATGTTTCAGAGAAATCAGGACAACATTGTTGGGCCTGTCGGTATTTATGTGCTGAATCTTCCTTGCTTTTGGGCTTGCCGGTTGGGTCCAACTTACCCTGGACAAGCACTTGCGGTTCCGTAAGCACAGCTTGGCAAGCTTTTGCTCAGAGGATGTGAACTGGTTGTTGTTGTCCTCTTCGTCTGAATACTGTACACTGCTGAGACGCTTGTACTCATGCTGGAGTTTGTTGATTGCATCTTGTAAGACATGGGCTGCATCCTCAAGCTCCTGGGTAGGAAGAAACACAGATGTCAGAGAAAAAATGAGAGTAAAGAAAGCTACCAAACTGGATCTTACTGTTTTTAAGAGACAGCAGTACAGGAAATGGAGAGAACTCTTTTTGAATTAAATCTATCCCAATGTAAGGTCATGCAGGTTTTGTTTCTTAGTAATCTGCCAACTCCTGTTAATTTACAATTTACTGGTAATGGTGAGCAATTTGATAATGTACCTTCTTTGAAACTTCTTGGTGTTAACATATAAAATGATCTCAAGTGGGATCTACATGTTAATTATATTATTAGAAATGCTTCACGTAGGTTACACATTTTGAGTAAGTTGAGGAAGAATCAGGTGACAGCATCTGACTTACTAATGATATACAAATTACATGTACATAGTTGTCCTTTATTGGTAGTTGGAGTTGTCACATGGTTTTCAGGGATCACAGATGCTATGGACTAAAGCATTGAGAGGTGCAGAAATGTGCTCTAAGTATGACTGCTTATCCAGCCACTTCCGTCAACGGTTCGCTTATTAAATTAATTTAACATTTTAATACTTATTTTCTGACCTTTAATGTAAACTGAAGAGTGTAAGTCCTTGGACTACCTGATCTGAATTGAATTGCAGTTTTGAGAGAAGTTAACAAATTAAACAAAATGAAAAACTACCCATGCTTGTAACCTGCAAATCATGAACACTTCATTTTGGGTGTAAGGTGGATGTAAAATATGAAAGATTGACCAATTTTTCATAATTTTTACATCAGCAAACTCCACATGGAAGAAATAAGGACACTTACATGTATGCACCACTTCTGTTGCTTTCGTAATACCTACATGTACATGTATGTGCAAAAGTAATGGTTTCGTGCACACTAAAATGAAAATTTTCATATTCCACACCATATTAGTGAATATACTGCTTATCCTATGCACTCTTGTTTTGCACAGTGCAGATGTCCTCACAAGTAGCTGAAGTGGGATAAAGGAAATTAACGAGAGCTGCAATCAGCAGCGTCAGAACAAAGTCAGCATACATGTATGTCAATCACTAGCACGTCTTATGACGCCTTATGTAAGGAATACCATTTGTATCCCAAATCAAGCACCAAGCTATTGAAATCAACTGTGGCAGACGCCTTCCTTTCAGTCTGTTCACTGTCACTTTTCACCCCTTACTTTGTGTACTTGTGAAATGACTTGTGTCCAAACATACACAATTTTGCGATGAACCTGTGATTGAAAAGTGAGTGACTGGATATCAGCATTAACAATGTACAGAGTACAAGCAGCTGTGAGTTACCAGATCATACACGTCAGGTACACTGTCTACATGTACATGTTTTCGCATACATTTTCCACAGATGCAAGGTCTATGAAATACTTTATAATACTGTAGGATATCCAACAAAAGTACATGTAGCCTAACGTAACTGAGTACTGGCAGATTCTACTGAGGTTCATACCGATGCATTAAGAAGCACCAAGCAATGCTACATGTACCTACGTATGTACATGTATACATGTTTGTTCATGCAAACAATAAAACAAACTCTCTAATCATCCATGGGACAGCTAAAAAAATGTACGATGTACATTTTGGTTCTACACACAAACAGGCACTAATCCAGAAACTGTATTGTAATAAATCAGTAATTTGTATAGACGTTTCAAGTAGGTGTGAATGCAACATTTTGTTTTCTGATCTAAAGCTACATGTAATGGTAAGTTTAAATAACCTACATGTACATGTACATTAACATGCATGTATAACATCTGGTATATGAAAAGTTTGCAAAATCTGCATATTATCAAGCCTCGTCTAATGACCCAAAATATCTAGAATGATCACCATATTTTCTAGGGAAATGTCTGTAACTACACACTAAAGTCTTGTACAAAGGATTTCACAGACAACTGCAAACATTAATTTTCTAACTTTCAATATACATTGTGCAAATTGTAGGACGCATTGTTTTGATGTGCATGTCAAAGAGAAATACCACCGAGGTTGAACTCACAATCTGTCCACAGCAAATAGCAAATTTAACAAATGTGCATGCAGGGTCAAGCAGAGTTTCAGTATCCTTTGTGCTTTATCTCAGATGTCTAATCTAAGGCTTGTACTTTTGGAGGTGATGAATGGCAGATTTGGGTAAGATAGATACCATAGAATGTTTCTACAAATGACACTGGGAAACCCCTGATATGGGTCCAGGTTCATTGTGCATTTCTGCTTCTTATCAGAACTGCCCAGAAGGCATGTTTGTACAAGTATTAATGACAAACGTGTGCTTCAGGGCTTCAATTTAAAAAAGAACCCGGATAACAACAAAAACGCAAAAGAGGACTCTGCTATGCAGTAGTGGCTGATGCCTGTTAATCCTCAAGATGAACTTTTCGATGTAACTTCAGAAATGGATTTTGACATTAACAATATAAAAAATAACTGACATCATAACTGTGAACAGATTGTAAAGTAAAAGCTGGTGATTTGTCAAAACATCTATACATGTAAAGATTGCTTGAGACCCCCAAAATGCATCCAAGCTGCAGCAGTGCTTACCAGACTAAGCAGAATTTCAACAAATTTAAAAGCTATGTCAACTTATTGTGAAGAATCAGAAAACATCAATTTTAAGTTGAGAATTACTTAAATTAATACATATTAATTATTATTATATTTGATATTAAATACAGTGGTACAATAATTGATAATTGACTAGTTTTGAAAGGTGAAGAGCTTCAGAATAAGTTTGCTATTTAAGTAACATTACAAAATGATTTTCAACTGTTTGAGTAGGTGAAGTACGAAAAGTTTACTTTAATTCTGCCCAAGAAAAAAATATCCCTGTCATATCTTAGCAGCAATGGAGACAAAGTAACAGCAAACCTAACATTAGTAAAGAAAAAAAAACCCACCACATTATCAATTAATACTTTTATAAACAAATAAGGGTGGGATGTTTTATGTTTAAACATTTGAGCAAAAAAAGTTCCAAATCCATTTACAGATTTTCCCAAAAGCTGAAACGGAACAGCCTCTTTAGAGGTTTGGCATTTTAATTAACACAATCTGGCAAGTGTTTTCATTGTAATTAATGATGCCTGTAAAATGTAATTTGATTTTCAGAATACTTTACTTCTCAGTTACCATGAATTCCTCACTGGAATTTTGTGTCAACTCTTTACATTGTATAAAATTGGTGGTGTTTAAAGTTTTCAAAAACACCATGGTAAGAGTGGGGGACGTTTACACCTTTAAGCAGAAAAAAGTTTTCTAAACGTTTTCCAAATTAAACATAATTTTTCACCCTTTAGAAAGAAGTCGAAAAGTCAAAGGAATTGTGATGTTTCAATCTTAGCAGAATCTTTCTCACAGGAGAAAGAAGGTACGGTACTAGGATCCAAATCTCATGCCTTCAAACTTCCAAACTTGGTACTGGTATATTTCAGGTCAACAAACACTTTGCAGCAGCTTTGTACAAAATGGTATAAAGTTATGTACACTAACAACTTAATTTAATCCATCTTGATGTTGCACAAGACGAGTTGTACTCATACAGGAGGAAAGAAAAGTCAGGCAAGAAATCCAAAGACAGGAAATCCAATTTCAAGAGAAAAGTTTCAAGGGGCATACACCAGGCTTAATAATAGTTACAGTGTAGATTAATTCCTTCCCCAGAGTTCTTGGGTGGAATTGAGAAAAACAATACAAAATTATACAACTTCAGTCTGAAACCCTGACTTATTTGGTGAATGCTCGAGCTTGGTTTTGAATTGGAAGAAGAATAACAAATTGTTCTTACCGCTTCTAAATCCTCATTCAGAACCATGACGATAGTTTTGATGTTGATCACCGGTAACCATCCAAAAAAGACTGTCGACTCAAAATTTGTCCAGTGAAATACCTCTCGAGTAATATTTTTCCATAAACACAAAGTACCTTTCAGGGCTTTACACTTTGTGGAATTTCTTCCTTTTTTTCCAATCCCAATTTGCTGATCTTCTTACACTCTGCTGATGTGACTTGAGTCCGTGGTACAGCCCTGATTGAGCGGCAGCTTGGGTCACGCTTTACCACTTTACTGCAAACACGGCTCTTATAAATATGTTTTTGCTGACAAATTTCCGTGTGGAGGAAGGGCCCTTTTACATTTGTGGTGCAGAGACGTGCCGAGACTGGGATATGAGTCATGGCTAATATTAAGAATGGTGGGGCCAGGCTGTATATTTCTCACCCAAGTGGGCTAATGCACAGTGATCCTTTTTGCAGTGCACTCTTTTATTCCTGTTAAATTTTCTTTTCTTTTTCAAGCAGAAAGGTGTGTGTATAGGCGTGGTAAGGCTTTGGGTGGTTCAGAAGCCTTGATGCCACTGTCTGACAGGCCAGCATCAGCTACAGCCTAAATGCTGAGTTGGCTCTGAAGAATTACAGACTGAAAATGCTGCATCATTTAATGTACGTTGCAAGTCCTCGGAAAAGATTTTAGTTCAAAGGTAATTTTAATTAGTCACTTGCAGGTAAAGTTAATTAATCTTTGGCAAGTGACATACCAGTACATTGGCCCTTTTCTATAATCTAAGTGTGTTCACACAAAAAGGACAGAAATGGGTCTGACTTCACAGTTATTCAAAACCTTGCCTTGAGTAAAATGTTAATCATACTTGATTCTTTCCCCATGAGACCAAGAAAACATCTCAAACTCAGGGAAAGAAATTTGTTTCATTTCATTGTATTAGAAACCCAAAGTCCTGAGACACACACACACATAAAAACTACACTGTTTCTAGCAACTCCATGTTTCTATATTGGATCAATGTCAAATTACTGTACATGTATATGTTTGACACTTGATTCAATATAGAAATACAGAGTGTATTCATTCCAGACCTGATCTACTGTAGCTTCAAAGGAATGAATGGTAAACCACACAAAATAAGTCATTAACCTGGAATCTCTGGAGAAACAAAAACTTTCCAACCATAAACATTACTACTCAT